CTTGGGTCAGCCAGCAGCAGGCACACGCTGGTCTGACAGGGGTCACCGGCGAGCCCACCTCAACGCAGACCGGCCCAGCGGGCTGTTGTGACCTCTCACTGCCTGACCGGCCAAGCCTTTATATCCCATGAGGGCTTGGAGGGGGGGCAAGGAGGACCGCCCATCCGTTGGGGCACGCCGCTTGGGTTTGCCTAGCGTGGGCACCACGTGCTACTGCGAGCATCCACGTGGGCGTATAATAACAATATGATACACAGTATATTGCTCGGCCACTAACTCACGGCTCGTCCTCGAGGCGATCTAGACTTCCTCAAGGGTGACCCAACCTGGCTGGTCCTAACTTGCTCGTCTTCGATCTCGGGTGCGGTATCCTTGGTGCATCTCCGTGGCTGCTCCTGTGTCGTCATCCTCGCTCTGGTCCCTGGGAATCCGTTCGTTCTCGACATCCTCACGTCCTCGACTGGTCTCGCGCAGGTCCTCGCCCAGACATCCTCGTAGTCCGCATACAGGTCAAACTCGGCGGCCTATTTGCCCAATGCACGTCTCGCAGATCTCCGTCCAGGTCCTACTCGGCTGCGCGCTCGTACAGACGTCCTCATAATCATCGTTAGGATCTATGGGCGTCCGGCAGGAAGCGTCCTCTTCGACATCGTAGGGCGACTGATACTTGCACTAATGATCTCCTGGAGTTTGACTGGGTCTGCGGTATCCAGGCAGGCGCCCATCCACAGCTTCATAGGATGGCGAACCCTTACTGGCGAGCTCCTGCTTTCGCTGGATTTCGGGTGTCCTGGCGAGCGGCGATCTCCGATGACGTTTTCTAATGGCTTCCGAAGGTGACCGTTTCTGCAGCAGGGCCTCCTTCGGTGCCGTTTCAGATATCGGGAACCAGAATAACACATAATGGGCCAGATAGTGAGAGAAAGAAAAACGACAGAGAAGAGAAGGTGTTAAATGCTACAAGCCGATTTTTTGTTTCATAATTTGCAGTTTTTAAAGTTGAATTTTCGTTATTTTCGTCTTTTTTTCATTTTGTGTTTTATGTTCACAAAGTTAAAGTAAGGTAAAAGAAGAAAATAGGAAAATTATTCGCAACCCTCTTCGCGAGCAAATCTTCTCTGGGATGTCCGAGGAAGCAAGTGTCTTTACCGATCATGCAGACTTCACTTGACGGGGGGATGTAACACCCAAAAATGCCGTATTTTAAGAAGCTTAAACGACTGGGAAAATCTATAAATTACCCACTCTATCTGCGGATCTATGATGGGTGCTCATGAAATGTCCTACAGGGATTTATCATGAATCAAAAACCGATGGGATTTCTCTAACATGACGGCGACATGTAAAAGTGTGAGCGGGTTGTGATTAATTAAGTGGATCCTAAATCAGACTTAAATCCTGGTCCTAAATTAATGGACATAATTGCGGTCACCCTGGCTCAAAGTTTGCCGAATGTATGATTTACTTCATTTACCTTAACCTACTCTCATACGTGAGTCATTACGCATAATTGCAACCTTACTATGAGGATACCTCTTGGCGTTATATTTAATTATACAAGTCGCATTACAAGTTCCGTTCTAGCGCCAATAGGACGTGTCACCAATGAACATGTAAACAATTAAAGTGAATTTGCAAGCTATTTTTTCTCCAGGCATTTACTGTGATAACCACTCCTAGTGAAAGTCATATCAGAATGAGAGTATGCCATTTCGGTAATTAGCACTTTTAACCCAACAAAAAACTAACGTGAGCATCGCTGTAAACGGCTTAACACATTTAGGGAAAAATAGAAAGGAAATGAAAAGAGAAGGGCCCAAAATTTGTACTCACGGGTTTCTTGAAGAAATGTCATCTTGCATTCGTTGAAGCCGAGCGATTTTTCTTCGGAGAAGCTTGTTCGGTTGCGTGCCAAAAGGACGCAACTACCACCGCTACCACCAGTACACACACAGTATGATGTGTGTGTATGTATATATATATATACAATGTGCGCGTGTGTGTGTGTGAGTGTGTGCGTGTGTGATTGTGTGTGTGTGTGTGTGTTTGTATAAATACACACATATATATAGTTTTGATATATATATATATATATTTGTGTGTGTGCGTGTGTATATGTATATATATACACATGCGTGTGTATATATAATATATAAAATATATATGCTACCTATAAATTATATATATACATATCTATATAAATATATATATATATATATATATATATATATATATATATATGAATGGTAAAACATTCTTCCGTGTTGATACTATGGTAGAAAAACACACAATGCAAAAATTAGATTCATTGAAAATTATACAGTTTCGAAATCCACCTGGGTAGGGAGAGTAGGGGGTAAAAAAGAGAGAGAGGAGAGGCAATCGTTAACACGGGGCAGGTAAGGACTGAAGAACGGAAGTAAAGGGAGGTCAGATCAGGTCGGAGGATCGGGCGGACTATGCGCATGGTGGCCGGCATACGGAATAAGGCGGAGGATGTGGGAACGAGGAAACTTTCAGCAGGAGGAAATCCACTGTTCACGGTTGAAATTAGGTAGCAGCTTTATTAAGGAGGATTCCACCAGTCTGAGGGCGTGGTCATCAGCGGAAGGAAAGACAATTCGCGTCGCTGACCAGTCCATCTGATGGCTTGTGTCCCACTGATGGCAAAAGAGGGCGTTGCTGTTGTGTCACCTGGATATAGCGTACTTATATTGAGACAGAGGCTTACTGGCGCCTGTCTCGATAAAATATTGCTTATCACAGGGGTTGCAAGGAACAGCATAGGTGCCCATCTTCGAGGTAGAGGGAGGACTGGTGCGGACTAGGTTGCTACGGAGAGTGTTCACCTGGCGAAAGATCAGTCTGCAGTTGAGAAGGTGAAGAGTTCGACGGAGAGAGTAAATCTCCTTAGTGTAGAGCAGGTTTGAGGACGGGCAGGTGAGGAGTCTCTTTAGGAGAGGAGTCGTGGTAGAAGATACGCCGTGCCATGGATAACGCGACGTCGAGAACATGACGAGGGTAGCCCAGTTTCGAGAACGAACGACGGAGGGGGAGGTGGTAATAGAAGAGGATATGGTATTGATGTTTAGCTTGTCTGATGTAATGGGTAGAGCTAGGAGGGGTAGTAGACACCGGAGAAGTGGAAGAGACTGGAATGTCTGGATTTATAATAGCAAAAAATCTGACTGGGGGAGGGAGGGGACAGAATTGGGAATGTAAGGAGTCGGAGGAAGAGATCTTTGGGGAGATGTAAAAACATCTTGGGAGGGAATGACAGGGTGGAGGATAGGGTAGTACTGGAGAAGGGAGCAAGAGAAAATCCTTGGTGGTATGCTTCCTACCTGCCTCGCGTAAAGTGATCCACAGTTAAGGGGGTTGTTTGAGTGAATAGACTATATGAGAAATAAGTAAGTTGCGTTGGTCGGTAAAGATGCTAAAGGTTGAGGAAGGAATGGAAAACATGCGTTGTAAGATGAAGATGACGGCACTTAGTTCCACCGCAAGGACGCTGGATTCAGGAGAGACTACAGAGAAACCAGCAGTACCCAAGAGGGATTTAGAGCCATCAATTTAAACATGAGTAGAGATACGATCGAGAAAATGGATGAGAATAACAGAAGGAGGGATGGATCAGGGAAAACAGATGAGCCAATACAGGAGGAAGGTATAAACCAAGAAGGGAATGAATGTAAAAAGAAGGGATCGGAGGTGAGGAAAGGGTGAATGGGAAAGAAAAGCATCTATACGAACGAAGAATTGAATTGGTAAGCAAGGAGAGGAATAAAAGCTAGGGAGAATGGATTTATTGACATTTAGTTTGGAGATAAAATTGTTGGAAACGAACATAACTCCGGAGAGTATGTCATGTCGTCGAGAGAGTTTGGTAGGCCTGAGTCCATGTAGTCTTCCAGGTGAAGATGATCGAAGGCACCCAGGGATAAGTGCCATAGTGGTAGACTATATTAAGATGAGCATGAAGGGAGGAGAAGGCAGAAGAATAGATATGGCAGTCAT